CGCCCCCGACCGCGGCGACGACACCCAGAACAACGAGTCGCCTGAGTTTGTCCTCAAGGAGCCCCATGAGCCCCGCGAGCCTGAGGGCTTCGTCCCGCCAGCGCCGGGCGGGCAAGGGGACGGGCCGGACGCTGAGACGCGGCTGCCCGCGGTGCCGGGCACCAAGAGCCCCTGCCGCGACTCGGCCTATTTCTCTGACTGCGACGCTGAGGCCGAGCGTGGCCCCGAGGACAGTGATGGTGGCCCAGGCACAGGACAGGCCCCTGGGGAGGTGGAAGAGCCGCCAGCGCCGCCCCCAGGGCCACCGTGGAGGATGGCAGGGGGCAATGTGGAGCCGGCACTAGGCCTCTCCCCGAGCCCCACGGAGGATGCGTGTCCCTCTAAGACCTTCTTCCCATCCCCAGCGGCCACCAGCATTGAGGACGAGGTGGCCCAGGGCCCGGCTGTGTCCCATGGTGTCTGTGGACTAGGGGGAAGCCAGGAGGGGGCTGAGCAGACTGTGTGCCCCGGGCCGGGCAGCGGGCACCGCGAGGAGCCGGAGGAGGAGGAGGAGGACACGGAGGACAGCGACGAGTCGGACGAGGAGCTGCGCTGTTACAATGTGCAGGAGCAGAGCGAGGAGAGCGAGGAGGAGCCGGCCGCTGTGCCCATCGTGGTGGCCGAGAGCCACAGCGCCCGCAACCTGCGGAGCCTCCTCAAGATGCCCAGCCTGCTCTCGGCCTCCTTCTGCGAGGACCTGGAGCGCAAGAAGAAGGCCGTGTCCTTCTTCGACGACGTCACCATCTACCTCTTCGACCAGGTGAGGAGCTCGGCCGGGCCCAGGGCACCCGTTCCACCTGCCTGGGTTCTCCAGGGATGCCCTTTCCATGTGTCTCCTCTTCCAGGAAAGCCCCACGCGGGAGCTGGGGGAGCAGAGCTTCCCGGACGGCCCCGGCCAGCCCCCGGCCGGCGGCGGCCCTGACAGCCCGGCGGAGAGGCTGAGCGCCCCAAACGCCTCCTCGGACGGCAGCGCCTCCGAAGAGAGTAAGAGCGGGACCGGGGAGCGGGAGCGGAGCAGACAGGGGGGCCAGCGGCATCCCCGTCCGCCCCCCGTCCCAGCCCTCTCCCTCCGCATCCCAGGTGGCGGCTTCGAGTGGGATGACGACTTCCCGCTCATGCCGGGGAAGGCGTCCCTGATGTCCTCGCTGGCGGGGACGCCGGCGGAGCCCGTCCCGGCCGTTCCCTCGCTACGCCGGGGCGTGCGGCTCCAGTTCTCCCGCTTCACCGTCTCGCCGGCCCCCGTCTCCCGCTTCTCCATCACTCACGTCTCCGACTCGGACATGGACTCCGTGGGGGGTGAGTGTCTCCAGCGGATTGTCCCGGGGCAATGCTGGGACTCATGGAAGCGCCGTGTGCCGCATCCCATCCCCATGTAGGAGATTGCCTGATCATGCCCTGCATCCCATCCATGTGCTCCTGAGGGCGCCTGGTCGTGCCCTACATCCCATCCCCTTGTGCAGGGGGTGCCTGGCAGTGTCCCGCATCCCATTCCCGTGCACCAGTGGATGCCCAGCCCCGTCCTGCATGGCGCGGTTCCCCCAGCCATGTCCTGCAGGCTGCATCCTCCGCTGCATGGGCTCCCATCCCCGCGTGCCGAGCGCTCACACCGCCTCTCCGCTCCTTTCCAGGCAGCAGGGAGGATGGCTGCAGGGAATGAGCCACCTGCCTGGGCACCAGGGATTTCCCTTGGCAGCGGCATCCACCTGGGGGCCTCACAGGACGGACGGACGGATGGACGGACAGAGGCCGGGAGCGGGGCCCGGCCCGTTGGACTCCTGGGACCTTGCTCTATTTTTTTAAGGCAGATTTTATGGGAAGAAGTTCGTTTGCTGCTGCTAGTTGGAGCTGGGCCGGGGCGGCCCGAGGCGAGGCGGTGGGTGACGGCCGTGCGTGTGTGTGCGAGTGCGAATGCAGGGTGTGCGTGTGTATAAATAGACATAACTATATATATATATACACATATATATATATAAATTATAGCATTTAAAGGGTAGTGCCCTGACCTTGCTAACATTTGCAGATCCTCACCCAGTGACGTTCCCCTGCCCCAGCTTCTCAACCCCCTGCGATGTCCCCTCCACGTCCCTCCTCCCCACCGTGCCATGAGCTTGGCCGTCGTGCACCTCCATGCCGGGGCTATCCCGGCACTGCCGACTGGTCCTCGCTCCCGGGGGCCTTTGCAGCTGCCGAGCTCCCCCTTCCCTCTCTGGATGGGACTGGTGGCAGTCTCTATATCGCTCCAGGACTGCAAAATCCACCCTGGAGCGCAATGCTGGGGCCGGCCAGGCTTCCCATGGGATTTGGGCATGTTCCCCTGCTCCCGCTGGGCTGTGTCCCTCAGCTCCGGACGCGCCAGGCTGGTGAGCGCAGAGCTCCGGCTCTGGCTGTCCCTGTGCCAGTCTTGCAGCTGAGGAGGGAACTGCCAACCTGACTATTTTTGTATTTAAACAAAAAGGAAAAAAAAAAAAAAAAGGACCCTAAAAAACAAAACTTGCTGTTGACCGAACTCACATTGCCGCGATTTTAAGTTATTGTTGCCAAAGAGATGTAAAGAGTTTGTCAAAAGGGAGGGGGGGCACATTCTCGTGGTTTGTGTGTTCATCTGTTTTGGTTTCTTTGTTGTTTCTTAATTATTATTTTTTTTTTTAAACTCATTTGAGGCTTAGGATAAATGTGCAATTCCACCTTCCAGAAGGACCTGGAACTAAGCGGAGCTGCTCGAAATTTAGCAGTGAGGGTTGTGTTTCCTTGGGGGGGGGCCTATAGACCAAATCCTGAGGTGAGAACCGCACTGCCCTCCACGGCGCTGCCCCTCGGCCCAGCCTGGCTTCTGCATGTGCACACGTGTGTGTGGGTACGTGTGTGCATGCACATGTATGTCTGTGTGTGTATAGATATATGGGTGCACACACATGTATATCTCTGTGTTTATGTATATGGGTGTATGCACACTGTGTGTGTGTGTGTTTATAGATATATATGGGTGCACGCACTCATATAGCTGTGTGTGTATATGGGTGCACACACGTAGGTGTGTATAGATATGTTTGTGCATGCACACATGTATCTATACATATACCTATGTGTGCGTGCAACCATATTTCTATATATGTGTACATGCACACATGTATCTATATACACACACACAGAAATACACGTGCATGCACATGTATGTGTGTATATGTAGATATAATGTGTGCATGCACGTGTATATCTGTGTGTGTGTATATATATATAGATATATGTGTGCACACATATGTGTGTGTGTATAGATGCGTGTGTATATATAGATATATGTGTGCACATATATGTGTGTGTAAATACATGTGTGCATGCACACGTATACCTCTGTGTGTGTAGATATATGGGTGCATGCACACGTGTGTGCATAGCTATGGTGCATGCACACGTATATATGCGTGCATGTACACATATATCTGTGTGTGTTTTTGGCTTTAGATATACATGTGCATGCACATATATAATCTGTGTGTGCATATATAGAGATACATGTGTGCAGGCACATATATATATATTTGTGTACATATAGATATATGGGTGCACGCACATGTATGTGTGTGTATAGATATTTGCGTGCATGCACACATATATCTCTGTGTATAGATATATGTGTGCACATGTATGTATATAGATATATGTGTGCATGCACGTGTGTGTAGATATATGCGTGCTTGCACACGTATATTTGAGTGTGTGCATATATAGCTCTATGTGTGCATGCACACGTATATCTGTGTGTGTGTGTTTAGCTGCATGCACACACGTGGGCACCAGCCCCTGCGGCTCTTTGCAACCTGGTTGCCCTGTGTGGGCACCGCCTGTCCCTGTCCCACGGGGACATCTTGCTGGGCTGGCAGGCGGGTTCGACCCGTGCCCGAGCTGCAGGCTGGCACCGCACGTGTCCGTGCCCAGCGCCCACACGGGGCTCCGTGGAGCAGCTGCTGCTTCCCACCCATTCCCTCGCCCTCAGCCTTGTCCCTGCTGGGCCAGGTGGGGACAGGCCTGGGCTCCAGAGCCTGGTGTTTAAGGAGCAGGCTGCCCAGGGCCTCCTGCCCGGAAAGACGGGGGGTGACTTTCCAGCCTTCCTCAAATTCTCCAGGATTGTTTGGGTATCTTTCCCCCACCGCAATAAAATCCCAGCCCAGCTCTGCATGCCCAGGCTGCTGGGCCAGCCGGGACCTCCCTTATGCGGGCTGCTTCCCCTGCTCCATCCCATGAGCAGTTCTTTTTAATTTACTTGTCTTATTTAAGTGTTTTCTGGCCCCAAAGCTGCTCTCCCACAGGCTCTGCTCGCACGTCCGTGCTGAGGCCACCAGGCTCGCGGTGTGCACAGGGTCTTTGGAGAGGGGGAGCTTGCACTGACCTGAGGGTCCCACAGCTCAGAGGGTGCCCGTGGGACCCTCCCCTCCCCACAGCCCCCGTGCAAACCTGGCCAGGCCCCACTTGGTGCATGGGGCAGCCCCAGCCTGTCCCCTTCCCTGGCACAGAGCCGCGGCCACCCCCTCCCCTGCCCACCAGCCCCAGGGTTTGGTCTGTGGCCTCCAAGGTCTCTGCCTCTGGAGGGCAGCATGAGAACAGAGCGATGGCTTGGATATTTTTTTTAATAGAAAAGCTACTATTACATTGTATATTTTATCAATACGGGTCATAATTGCTGTATTTTTTATCAGTGCTGATTTCCATACAGCTCCCAGCATGTGTGTCAGACATCATCAGGCCAATAATAAAATTTTTAAAATATCTTAAGCAGTTTCCTGCCCGCATCATTGCTGGCAAGCAGGAAGGGCCGGGGGTCCCGGGGAGCACAGCAGCATCCCGGGAGCACGGCGGCATCCCGGGAATGTGGCTGCCTGCAGGGAGAAGCTGCTCTCCAGAGCTGCCGCCAACGCCGGAGCCTCCCGGGGGCCGGGAGCCCCTCTGCAACCAGGCAATAGGGTGAGGAGGAGCAGGGCTAACGAAGCAGCTTCAGTGCAGGGGCGGGTGCTCCGGTTTGCAGGGCGACGGTGCCCCTCCGACCAAGGAAAACACAGGGCTTGGCAGGGAGGGGAATGGGGGAAATTTTATTGCTCATAAATTACTTTTTCATTAAAAAAAAAAATCAGGCTGCTTCTTCCAGGTGCCACCAACCAGGGAGGAGGGCAAAGCCAGGGGTGGCTGCTGCAG